TCCAAGGAGCCCTCTGACTACTTCTTCCAACACAGATCTGTTGGTTCTTTTGGCAGTCCATGGTACTTTCAATATTCTCATCCAAAACCATAACTCAAATGCATCAATTCTTCTACGGTTTTCCTTAATCACTGTCCAACTTTTTCATGTATATGAGATTATTGAAAATACCATGGCTTGGGTAAGGCACACCTTAGTTTTCAAACTGACATCTTTGCTCTTCAGCACTTTAAAGAGGTCTTGTACAGCAGATTTACCTAAGCAATACACCATTTGATTTCTTGACTGCAGCTTCCATGAGTATTGATGGTTGATTAAAACAAAATGAAGTCTTTGACATCTTCAGTCTTTTTTTTTTTTTTTTCATTTAAATGGATGTTGTTAATTGGTCCAATGGTGAGGACTTTTGTTTTCTTTACAATGAGATTCAATCCATAGTGAAGGCTGTGTTCTTTGATCTTCATCAGTATTTTAAGTTCTCTGCACTTGCAGGAAGCAAGGTTGTATCACTTGCCTATCACAGGTTGTTAATGAGTCTTCCTTCAATCCTGATGACACATTTTTCTTCATATAACCCAGCTTCTCAGATTATGCACTCAGCATGTACGTTGAATAAGAATGGTGAAAGAAGACAACCATTCTGGAGCACACCTGTAATTTACATAAATATAGTGTGCAATTTTCAATTAATGTTTAAAAAAATAGATTGCTCAATAATGTTTGAAGTTTTGTTGAAGTAAGTGATGAACGTTTAGAAATTTCTTTGAGGAATCTTAAGAAAGAAAAATATTAATATCCAATTTAATTGGGGAAATATGTATCATTCTGACTATAATAAACATTGTAAAAAATTACATGTTGTTGTTGTTGTTAAGTGCCGTCGAGTCGGTTCCAACCCATAGCGACCCTGTACAGGGTTTCCAGGGCTGTAAATCTTTACAGGAGCAGAAAGCCTCATCTTTTTCCCATGGAGCAGCTGGTAGTTTTGAACTGCTGACCTTGAGGTTCGCAGCCCGATTCATAACCACTATGCTTCCAGAGAAAGCAATAAAATGATGAAATAATATTTATTTCTTGGTTATCAAATACCATTAGAAAATGTAATGAATACATCTCTAAAGATTTGAAGTAGTAATGATCAAATTATATTATATTGGAGTTTTATTATGTACCTGGATCAAAAGTTTTGAAATGTTCTCAATCTATTTCATTTGTGCTCCAAATATAAATTAGTTAAACATATTTTTAATGATTTAAAACTCAAAAAAATAAATGATTTTTGAACTCCAAAGGGGGGGGGGGGAATCAGAGAAAACTCATTGTCTAGAGTAAGTGACTTCTTTAATAAAAGCACTGTTTTATGGGAAAACTGCAGAAGTAAAATCTGCAGTGAAGTTGTTGCTTTAAATGAAATACTAGAAAAAATATGTAGTATATAAATATATGTATATATTCATATTTATACATGTGGTACTTATATTTATTTATATATATATGGTATATAAATACATATATTTAAGGACATACACACATACATATGGATACATATTCCAGAACATTTAATTGTGCTCATGCAGAATCTGTACATAGACAAAGAAACAGTCATATAAACAACATGAATGAATACTCTTATGATTTAAAATCAGGAGAGATGTGTGCCAGGGTTGTATCCTTTCACCATTCTTACTCAATTCCTATGCTGAATAAATAATCTAAGAAGCTCAACTATATGAAGAAGAACATGGCATCAGGATTGAAGGAAGGCTCATTAACAAGCTGGAACTATCTGCAATTCCCATTCTTCACAATGTTATGCATAGTGTGTTACGATCCACACAGCTGGATATATCTTATTTTACAATATTCCATTTCCTTTCATGGATGTATTCATGTATGTAGGCCCTTTTTTAGGAGCACTGGTGGCACAGTGATTAAGCACTTGACTGCTAACCACAAAGTCAATGTTTGAACCCACCAGCAGTTCCATGGGAGCAAAGGACTAGAGAACTACTCCCGTAAAGATGATAGGCTCTGAAATCCTATGGTGCTGGTCTACTCTGTTATATGGGATTGTCAGGAGTAGGAATAGACTTGACAGCAACCCACCACCATGACCACCTCTTTTTGCAACTTTTCTTTGTAGGGTCAAGGCATCTCACTCTTGGTTTTCTTATTCCATTCACATAACTCATTGCCACATTTAGTAGCTAACCAAAAGGTCAGTGGATCAAACCCACGATCACTCTTTGGAAGCCCTAAACAGGTTCCCTATAAATCAGAACCCACTAAATGACACTGAACAGCAACAACACTTCCTCAAAGTCCTTTCCCTTTCATCTCCTTTCCATGCCAGGGATCCCCTCTAGTTAAGGCTTCCTAACCTCTCTTCTCCTCAACTGAGCTCATCTGTTTGCCCCACACCTGGAATTTAAGACCTCATTCATTCTTTCCAGACTCACCTCTGGCTTGCTGCTCCCTTACCCATTCTTAGTGCACCTTGACAGCTATCAAATGAATAAAACCAGTACTTTTGTCCCTCAGCTCATATGTTAACACTGTCTTCAATCCCACTTTCTTCCTAACAAAATCAAATTTATCCTTAAATTAATTTATGTTGTCATTGTCAGGTGCCATCGAGTCGGAACTGACTCATAGCGACCCCATGCACAGCAGAACGAAAAATGTCCGATCCTGGGCCAACCTCACTACTGCTGCCACACTTGACACCATCAATGCTGACACCTGGCCAATCCCTTTCGTTGGGGGTTTTCCTCTTTTTCTCTGATCCTCCATCTTACCCAGCATGACATCTTTCTCCAGTAACTGTTCCCTCCTGACAATATGTCCAAAGTATGAGAGACGAAGTTTAGCCATCTTGGCCTCTAAGGAGCATTCTGCACTTCTTCCAAAACAGATCTATTGATTCTTTTGGCAGTTCATGGCACTTTTAGTATTCTCCTCCAACACCACAACTCAAAGGCCTCGATTCTTCAATGATCTTCCTTATTCACTGTCCAGCTTTCACATCCATATAAGGTTATTGGAAATACCATGGCTTGGGTCAAGTGCACCTTAGTTTTCAAGCTGACATTAATTTATAATACTACTTAAACCTTCAATGAAGAATTTTCACTCCATCAGTTTAAAATCCTTTAGGTTGGATTTCTACTTCCTTGAAACATACTCCATTCAACACTTTAAATTAAGATTTTTTTTTCCCCGCACCTTATAGGACAAGGACACACTCTGCAGTGCCTTGTATTATTCTGAAGAAAAGACTGGAATTGGTGGCTGAAAGGAATTATTGAAAATGACAAGCAATGCACTGTAACTGGTGTATTGTGAGAGATCAGTATAGGAGAGGAGTTTTTCTTCTTACTACTGAAAGATTCTGATATAGCTTCTATAATACTTAGACCTAATTCCAAGTATACTTTACTTTTGTCAAGTAACATGACCTTTATGCCTTTCTTCTTCCCAGGATGTGACAGTCCCTCACAAGACTGTTTCTCTCCATCCTTTATATCAGACCAAACTCTATCCTCCTGCTAAGTCCCTGCTGCATCTCTCCCATGCTGACTGTCTTACCCCAGGACCCTTCAGCCATTTATCCTCCTTTTCACTGAGTGAAGAACAGGAGAATTCCCATACCCTGTTCAGTCACAATGCATATAATAAGGTGAGAATTCTATGCTGAAATGAAAACTATTCTGTGCTGTGAACCTTATTTATACCTATTTGTAAAACTTAAATGTAGATGAAATATATATTAAGAATAGATGAATTTGTTATAAAACAAAGTAACTGAATTTGGGAAATAGTAGCCATTTATTTTCCTTTGAAAGTCATTTCCTATTTACATTCCTCATTGTTTCATGTTCCAATCCTAAGGGGGAAAATTCAATAAATTTTCCAAGAGGTTAGTATATGCCATCATTAATTTATGTTCTACACTTAGTTTAATTTTCTTTCAAAGTTTCTTTAAGTAATAATTTAAAAAACCACAAGGTATATATTTGTAAATTCAAATTATCATTTTATTTTAAAATGTGCCTTTATGTCTTATAATGCATACTTAAGGATGTACAAAAAGAAAGAGTATTCAGTATTTGAAATATTGATATAAAAAAAAAAACATATGAGGGAAAAGCAGTAAAAGTAGATAAAAAAATGTTTATAATTGGCTTTGGAATATAACCTGAAATGTTCTACTTGAAGTGAGTTTCTATTACTTGCTACTATTCACATTTAAATCCTCTTTTCTGAGATGACCATAAGGACATCTAGGTTGGTACAGACTCTCAGTATCTGAAAATATCCTGAAATAATCTACTGACCAAACTCAACTGTATAGTCAAACCTCTTTGTAAAATTTAATCTTGTTTGAAAACATTTATTTTGAAAAATTTCTATATCCAATGAAATATACCTATATACTAGGAAATTAATCAAGGTCATATGGTCAAGAATGTAGTAAAACAATATTCCTGAAACCCTGAAACTTTCTTTAAGAAAAATGTTCATAAACCCAGGCCAAGTACATTCACCAAAAGATTGGACACTATTATATGAGGAAGAAATTGCTTTTTATATTTAATAACATCATGACTAGATGATTAATCCTAAATCAAACAACTTTTGCTAATGAAATGCTTTTTGGGCAAAGTTCAAAATGACATTATTTTGACCTATGGTTGTTTTTTTAACTCTTGGTCTAGAAAAATGAAGTATTTCTGAGCAAGTAAAATATTTAAAAGTTATTATATATCATTTGTAATTCTTCCTGGTTTAATTCTTGCCAATATCTATGAAATACATTTAGTTATTAAATAGAGTTAATAATTCTGAAAAACATTTTTTCCCTGTAAACTATCATGTACTATAGAGTTTTAATTGTATTTTATGGATTATATTAAACAGCTCATTACTTTGAATGTTATGGTGGTGTTTTCATGAACTGTTCTGAATGCATAGAAACAGTATCTTATCCATATTTTAACAGTATTTGGTCAGGCAAATAAAATAAATGAAAGGCAACAGAGTATGAACAACTATTTTCAGTCTACACATCTTTATAACATCATTCATAATCCATAGCTTATTGATATTGACGAAAATCACATCCAACAAATAGTAACAAGAATGAAGTGATACACCACTTTTTTATGGAAGATCTCAATTGCTTAGTCTTATATCTTCATTTATCCTACTAAAATATGTAAATTACCCAACTTAATACCTATATTTATAAATCTTTTGTTGTGGGTTTTGACCCAATTGTTGTTCGATGCTGACAAGTTGGTTCCAACTCATAGTGACCCTGTATAGGATTTCTGAGGCTGCAAATCTTTAACGGAGCAGAAAGCCACATTTTTCTCCGAAGTTGACATAGTGTTGTTGTTGTTGTTGTTGTTAAGTGCTGTCAAGTTGGTTCTGATTAGTATTGACCCTGTGTAGCTTTTTGAAGTAGTGACTGGTGGGTTTGAACTGCCTACTTTGTGGTTAGCAGTCTAGTGCATAACTTACAGTGCCACACCAGGGCTCTATATGTTGCTGTTGTTTTTAGGTGCCATCTGTTGGTTCCAACTCACAGCAACCCTGTATGGGGCTTCTGAGGACTCTATATAGTATACTAAAATTTTGAGACATCTTTTTTCACTTGAAATAATTTTTTTGTGTAGACTTGTAAAACTAACAGTCATCTAACTGAACTTTCCCCCAATATTCTAAAGCCATCCCTAGGTATGACCTAAAGAGTTCATCTCAAAACTAAAATATTTCCACCCTTTTCTCTGGAGAGTGATGATGAACACCATTGACTTGACTTCACAATCCATGGGAACCCTTGTCAACGGGGGCTATAGAAGATGTGGAAAGGTTTTCTTCTTCTTTTTGGTCCTCAGTTTACATTTCCATCTTCACCAAATCCTCATGCTCTCAAATCCACATCCTTGTCCTCTTTGCTTCTTTTTAAGATACAACTTGATCATATGTTGTTGTATTATATTATATGATGACACTCATGTGCTTACCTTTTCATCTCGGAATGACCCAGTATATCCTTCTTCCTCTCTTAGCCCTAGTCTTTCCTTACATCCCATTAATTCTTAAAAGTAGTGTAGCCCAGTGGGTAAGAACATAGTGTCTGTATTCAGTCTATCTGAGTTCATTTCTTGACCCTATCCCTTCAAGTTCGTGATATTAAAGTCATTTAAGTTCTGTGTGCTTCCATTCACTGATTTGTAGAATGGGAATATAATGACCTATTTCATTACGGTACAAGTATTATGAGGATGTTGTCATTCTTGTTAGTTGTCATAGTGCCTATTCTAACTCATGGAAACCACACGTATGCGGAGTAGAACTGTTCCATAGAAGTTTCAAGGTTGTCTTCAAAGATGAGTTGGAGCTTGAGTGAGTTTCAACTACCAATCTTTCATCTAATAGTTGAGATATTAACTGTTTGAATCATGCAAAAACTCCTGTTTTGGGAATAAGATGTACTAGTATGTGTAAGGATTCCTGGTGCAGTGCTGTGGGATCAATACTGGTCTATGTACCACAGGGTTGGCAGTTCAAATCCACAAGTTGCTACTCAGAAACCCTATACAGGGTTTCTATGAGTTGAAACTGACTTGAAAACACTTAACAATAACAACAAGTATGTGTGAAACACTTAGAACAGTACCTCACATATAACAAGAATCTGTTAAGTGTCAGTTGTATTATTACTAATTCTTTTTAATTATTACATCCATTGTGCTTTTGAGTCCTCGGTCATTCTCCACTGCATTCTGCCCCTTTGAATGCAGAAACCTTGAAAAACAAAACAAAATGAACATTGCTGTAGTCTCCCATCCTTTTTCTTGACACTGCTGCACAGCTAGCAATTTGGAGACTTTGGTTAAAGTGATCAATAGCCATTATCTCTATTCTCTCTCTGCAGATGCACTCCTTAGCCAATTCTTTCCCCTCTACCCTCTATGAAATTGCTCTCTCAAAGGTAAGCTGCTTGTCAGTAAACTCAGTTCTCATCTCCTTTAATCCTCTGTGGCAGTCAGCACAGTTGGTCATTCACTCTGGAAATTTCATCTTTACTGGCTCTTGGGAGAATATAGACATCCTTATCCGTGACTGCCCCTTAGGGTTTGTTTGTTATGTGGCTATTTATTCCTCCTCTACCTTCCCTCTCTGTCTTACTTCAGATATTCCACCCACTCACAGACTTCAGAATTGATAGTTCCCAAATCCACATTTCAGGTTCTACATTCTCCACTGAGATTCCAGTTTCCTGCCTTCAGGTGTTGCTCCACATGTTTCTAGGAAGTCATTTTGCCACCTCAAACTCGTCATTCATTTTCTCTCAAACTAGTACTGCTCTGGCTTCCCTACTTCTGCCATTAGTACCACAATTCTCAGTTCCAAAATTCAAAATGTGAGTCATCTATTAGGTTCTTTCTGCTTTGCCCTTATATGAAGTCCACTTAGGTAAAATGAATCCTTCCTTTGTTATGTCTTAAAGTGAGTGCTTATTCCCCACTACAGTTGGAATTGACTAGATGGTGTGGTTTGGGTTTTGAGCTCTTTATTATTATTCTGCTTGACTTAAACTGATCTATTTATTTTCCTGTACTCATGCCTTGGGAATTCTTTATGGTTCAACTTTTTCATTCAGTATCTCCATAAAAAATGTCTTCCTGCTTTCTTCTTACACAAACTATTCTCTGACTTTAGGACTAAATCTGAGTTATTCCATCTCCTCTGAGATGATTTCCCATGCATCAGCATTCAAAATAATTTCGTTCTCCTTGCAATTTCTATAATCTTTGTCTGTGTTATTCATCAGATGGTCACTATAGGTTATTTTGTATTTACTAGTTGTACTTGTCTTTGTGAACATCTAAGGTATGATATCGTAATTTGCACATAAGAACCATGACAATAAATGTTTATGATGAGTGAATCTTTAAATGACCCAATCTACTCATTAGGTTGATATTCATGCTTAAATAATTAGTGCTATTTCTATTCTAAGCAGGAACCAAATCTGAATTTACTTATTCACTCACCACTATACTCAGAGTAACATCAGTCAATTGAAGGTCATGCTGCACCAATTTCCAGGAGGCTAAGTAGGATGTTGGCAATGGGAAAAATATGTGGGTTGTGGAGGTAGAGACAGGAGGCATCTGACCTCCTCTGCTACATGTGAATTCTGGCATCCACTAAGATGTCCCCACTCCTGTGTGGTATCCAAACATCAGTTCATATAATACCACATTGCTGCATCCTTTGTTGACCTGCATGATGTGGCCTTCTCAACTCTAGTTCAGCTTCTATATCCTCAAAACATGCATGGGAAACAGTTGTTACCTGCATACTAGGAATAGGTGAACTCCGTGAGCTATCTCAGAACCAACCATTTAGAAATGCTACATAGCCTTCTCTGCTCTTCTAAGCTTGTCCTCTTTGCCACAGGAACTACATAAGATCCAGGAAGTGACGCATGGACCAACTCTGCTGGTGAATCCCCTAGTTCTTCTTGTGCAACCCATATAAAATTCTTTAACTTACTGGCTTATTCCCTGCCCCAGCTTCAGGAATGTCTATTCTTTAGATCAGATAACCATTTTTTAGGTCATATATTTGGAGTCTTGGTGTGGCTCTGTGGGTTAATGC